AGGATAAAATGGGCAGGGGCTCAAACCCTCTGTGCCCCCCACTCTGCATGTGACTGGAAACCTGGAAATCACACTGATTTCACTTCTATTTCTGCTTGTAATGCTTATTACTATCCATAACAGGGAGCTTCATATTAATGATCAATATTTGATCAACTGATCAGACATTGATCAAGATGGCGCCACAGCCAATCAGAACGCCAGACCAGAGAGAGAGAGAGAGAAAACCAACAGAAGAGAAAAAGTTAGCAGTTGTGTCATGAGGAAAAGTTTTCAGTTCATCTTGCAGCAGCTTCTGCTTAGAGCAGAGATAACTCAGGATGACCAAACGCTTAGAATGAGGCAGGAGAGGGAAACGTTCAGATCAGAGTGCAGATATGAGGAATGCACCGATCCACTTTTTTCACTTCCGATACCGATACAGATGTCTGAGGTTTGGTATCGGCTGATATCGATCTGATGCAGAGAAACAGCTGAGTTGACCTAAAACCAGAACATCTCACTGAAAGACACCAGGAGCTTCACAAGCTTGTTCAAACATGTAAAAACAACGTTCATAAGTGTTAGGAGTAAAACAGCCAACCTGAAATAAATAATAAACTGCAACAAACCTTCTGTCAAACGAGTCTGACCATGCAGTGAGAAATCCTGAATTGAATGCAGAATAAATAATAAAGCATGTCACTTAGAGCACAAAGCGTGTAATTAGAGACAGGCTGACACAGACATGATCGGAAATATGATCTTTTTTCTCTCCCTCTACTTTTCTCACCCAAATAATCCCAGTTCTGTTTGCTTAGTCTCTCTGTTAAGTTTGACACCAATTTTAGTTTCCATTTTAGCCGAAAGACAAACTTTAGTCGCTGTAATCTACAATGTAAGAATCTGCTGTCCAGAGGAAATCTTTTCAGGGCTTCCTTTGGAAAAGGAAATTGGTTTTAATATACATTCCTGCATCACCAAAGCCGAAACTTTGCCAGGCGAGTGCAGAGCCGTGAAGCTCAGCTGCCAGCAGGCCGGGCCTAAAGCAGGCCGGGCCTAAAGCAGGCCGGGCCTAAAGCAGGCCGGGCCTAAAGCAGGCCGGGCCTAAGCAGGCCGGGCCTAAAGCAGGCCGGGCCTAAAGCAGGCCGGGCCTAAAGCAGGCCGGGCCTAAAGCAGGCCGGGCCTAAAGCAGTTTGAACCGGATCCTTCAGCAACATCTCAGTGGAGATTACCAGCTCACAGACGTTTGTTTCACTTGGTATAGTCTGGTTTCTGGTTTTTCAATACGACTCTTTCCTTTAGAATGTTAATCTGGATTATTGTGGACGTTTGGAAGTGCGCCTCGCAATGGAAGGAAGCAGGTCGTTCTACGCAGATGTTTCCTTCCCTGCGCCGGCTGACACAGCAGGTTTACCGAGGATCAGACAAGGAGCGGCGGAGCGGCAGGGATCAGGACGAGACGCTCACAGCCGCTTCGCAGGAAAACTTGTCCTGCCTGAATCCCATCGGTCTGTTTTAATTTGACTCATAAGAACACATGTACACTCACATTCCAACACACATACACATACACACGCATACACATACACACACACACGCACACGCACAAATGATGAGAGGTCACATGAAAAATGTTTTGGCTCTGTAATACAGGCTGCTTCTGTACGGCTGATAAACAGAAACTGGTTTGAACTGGCTGGTGAAGCAGGGAGAGGCAGCAGAGAGAACAGAAGAGTCTGGCATTGTTGTAGCAGTGAGGGCAGTGTAGCAGACACACACACACACACACACACACACACACACACACACACACACACACACACACACACACACACACACACACACACACACACACACACACACACACACACGCACGCACTCACACACCTGGAAGATGAGGAAACACTGACACTGAAAATAGACAGAAATGTACAAAATGTTATTCATGTCCAAGATTCCTGCATAGACATAAAGAAAAACCTATTGATGCATAAAACAGCCTGCATAACATAATACATGCACTGAGATCAAACAGTGCATGTGACCTCCTTCCTAAAATAATGGTCTAAGGAAATTTCTGCAACAACAACAAAAATCACAGCTTATTTATTCTCAAAAGATATTTTTTTTTTTTGGAGGGGGAATCAGTTTCAGCCAAAAATGACTCAGGCCATTATTGTAGGACGGTTCTGATAGTTGTGGCTCATTCCACAAACTTCAGCATTTTCCATTTGGATTTGTTGAAGTAATAAAGTCGAATTTATGTTTAAAGCAGATTAATAACAACAGCTGTTGACCAAAGCGCTGTGCATTTTAAAAATGATGGAAAAAACAAAGAAAGATATGATTCAATTTAAAAATTCAAGTATAGAGTAAGAAACCTGAGAGAAGAAATAACGCGATCGCGGTGAACAGAACTCGTTCTGATCAAAAAGACGAGTCATAAAATGAGTTTCCTTAAAATGAAATCAGTGCGTTCCTGGAGGGAATCACACCAGGAGCCTGCAGCCACAGATCGCTGCCCAACTGGGAAGTTAAAGGAAAATGAGAGCCCACTTTCAAATGTGTTTTACAAACAACAACCTGAATAGTGTGGAGGGCCTTCATATTCAGCTTCACTGTATCAATACTTTGTAGAGTAAGCAAGTCTGTAACTTCCCGTGTCTCTTTGCACTTTTACAGACGGCAATTTTTGCCTCTGAAATTAGTAAGTAACTGTTTTCAGGTGGAGATCTGTCTGGACTTTGACTAGGCCACTTTAAAAATGAACATCTATTATCTGTATTTCACAATCCATACTGATCAGATTTTTATTTGTGAAAACCATGAAACATTTGAGTTCCACTTTGCACTAATGTGCTTCTTGTGTTTGTCATAGAACATTCTCAACTCCCTAAACTAAATAAACGACGACTGAAAACAAGGTCTTCATAGAATAACATTTCTTCCTTTCTTCTTGTCGCTGACCTTCAGGAGTTCCTCTGCCTACGGAGATAAGAACACAGCTCACTGGTCTGATGTTTAGGAAAACACAGACAACAAGCAGACCAGACCAACGCTTTGGGAACAGGTCTGCATCTTTTTGCAGCACAATAAAAGCCAAACTGTAACCATTTGACTTTTTATAAGTAAGATACGCTATAAAGCAGAGATACACAGAAAAATACAGACTGTCACAGCTGGAAACATGCTGCAGACACAGGAAGCACAAACATACTGGAGTAAAACTGCAAATGAAAAGCAAGTGCAGGAATACGCAGAGAAAAATTCAGAGTCCAAACTTTAATTTGCTGCATTTTTAGAATATATTTTATCTGAATCTGCCGTTTGACAATTTGTTTTTTTTTTTGCAATGGAAATAAAATACACTGTGGAGTATTATTTTTGCACAAATCTATTTCCCATCCACTGCAGCTCAAATAGGAAGTCACACAAAGCAGAAATTGGGCCATCTTTAGGAGCAGATCAACACCAAACGCAGCAGCTTGAACTTTAAAAAATAAAAGAAAATGCAAAAAAATGCTAATTACATGAACATGTTTATGTGTTTGCTCAGCCAGCAGATTCATGCATGTGTACATGCATGAATGTGTTGGGACTCCTGCAAGGTGCCGGGCAGGAATGTGGGCTGCAGGCCAACCACAGCCTGTCCTTGACGGCTTCTAAACAAAGCCCGGGTCGGCGTGCCAAGGAGCTCGGCTCGTTCCCTTCGCCCAACAGTCGGTCCGGTTTACGGCACGCAGACATGACATATATTCTTCTGACTGCATCCTCCTTCATGTGCAGAAATGACAGAATGATAATATTTTGGTGTGCTTCTCTTCAGCAGGCGCTCTGTTGTTATTGCACACACTTCTGCAGACATGCAGGCAGTAAACTGAGACAGCAGGTCGACTGAGAGGCCAATGAGAACCAGAGATCACTCCTCTGTAAATACAGTCAGTCCAACTGAGAAGGCCTCCTGCATGTAATAGTCTGAAAGGCTCCTTTCAGATGAGACAACGACGGAGCAAACGGTGGTGTGAAGATTTGCTGGTTTTATAAATTGAACTTTACCTAATATCTTTTCCATCTAACCACAGAGCAGTTGCTGGGTTTCTGCAGACGTCACCAACTTAAATTTAAGGTTTTTAAAAACCTTTTTAATGCCATTATGACTGAACTTCTCTTTCACACAGAATGCATATAGTATCTTGTAGGTTGGCAACAGAAGTGAGCCAGTTTTGAAGAAGAACGTCATCCAATACTCAGGACACACACAACAAAGCTAGGTAATTAGTTAACAGGGGTATAATGAGCAGCTAGTTAGCGGTAGCCTCAACTGCTTTAAGTCACTGAACGTCATGATGTTTCCACGTCAATCAAATGTTTTGCTTGACAGAAAAGTGAGGAAAAATAAACGACACAGAATATGCAAGATGAAATAGTCCAGCCACTACAAAATTTAAGACTGGTGATTAACATATTTAAGGTCAACTTATTGGTCCTCCATAAATGTGATTTTTTAAAAAAATAATTAATTTTAAACATATTGAGCCCTTAATTTCAATTTTATGAATGTAAGGCTTTTTAAGAAGCCGAAACCTTGAGTTATAATAAACATGACTTACTATGTAATGTGGAATAATTAATTGAAGGAGCATCACATGCAGATGAACACTGGCCTCAGCTGGCCCATGATGCCATCTAGTGTTCAGTTGTTTTAATGCTCTCTGAATGTATCAGTCTTTAAATATATTAGAGGAATCGTTTTTCTGTGAAATGTTTCATCCCTTGGTTTTCACATATGAAGTTGAGAAGTCTCAGTTTGAAGTGGGAGTATTTTAGTTGCTAAAAGATCTGAAAAACAGCCGAACTGGTGACGTAATTTTTCCTGTTTTATCCTTTTGCTCCACCCCACAATAGTATCAGTATTCTATTGATACTGATACCATCGCGATATTTACTGTTAATGATTTATCGTCCAGTCCGAAGTGTAATTGTAACTGCAGGGAGAGAAGAACAAACCACACCAGACATGTGGAACAAAAACATCAGCATTTTTATTTTCTGCAAAATACAAACACTACCACAGTTCTGAGTGAGGGAGTTCTGCGACAGCCCGTGTGCACTTGGTTGGTCGGTGAGTCAGGTGGCGACAAAAGGCCAGCTCATGCCGCTAACAATCTCTCAGTACATCCGGAAGCATGTGATGAGGGGAGAATGCAGGCCAAACTTGAAATTGTTCAGAAAATACTTTTTTTTTTTAAATCAGAGCTTTGTAGGTACCTGACAGAGGTCCAGACAGAAACTGGTTGCAGAATAAAAATAATAATAACAATGATAATAATAATAATAATACAAAGATTTGATTTGAAGCTTTTCACGCTGCTTAGCTTACATTCTCTCTTCGATTTTAAAGCCAGCTTTCTGTTTTCATCTGCAGTCAGCTGGAGTGAGCTCCCCACTTTTTCTTTGCTTTTTCGTCAAACATCTTTTAGTTTTTAGACGACCATCCTGACTTATGGAGATGGAGGAGAGAAGTACCTCAGCCATATGGAGCGATTTGCGTTGCTCCACTGTTTTCTAAGAGAATTCAGGCGCAGAGCAGAAAAAAGTGAAGAGTAGCTGAGGGGTCGAGCTCCAAATATACAGTTTTAAGCCAAAATATTCAAATTTGAACCCTCAGCCACTTCTGTCTTTTCAATCAATTCACAGAAAGAAAAACAACAAGAACAAAAAAAAAAGACGGAAATAAAAACAAAAGGAAAACTCTAACAGGGATGATAGTTACAATCGTATGTCCAGTTTGAACAACCTGGATGTGTGGCTGGTGTCAGACCGGCTGAAACACGGCATCAGGGGAAATTATTGGTGTTTTATTTGGACTTGGAGGTAGAGAATTAAATGAGTTTTAATTTCAAAATCTCTAGTGTCAGTGCAAAGCACCATAACTGAATCCTTCTGGGGGAGAGCCAAGAAATAAACCAGCTGATAAATTGGCTCAGATTTCCTTAACTTTGGGAGAACGGATGATATTTACATATGAAGTCGATCTTATCTACCTCAGAGGTCCAGAAACCAACCAGTGTTTGGCTGACCCGCCCACCATGTCTGCATATTTGCAGTTGACAATAGTCACCCAATTGTTGCCAACTCAGCGACATTCTTGCTACATTTAGCAACTTTTCAGATAAAAAAGATAGATCCTGGCCACAAAGGGAGTCGACAGGTCAGACTTCTTAAAAGATAAAATGGTGCACTCCTGGTCTGCCACATCTAGAAGCAGCTAAAAAACGTTTCTCTGAGTGAGGATGGAAATGTTCAGTTGGGTTTTTTTCATTGGATTTTCTTTTCCATGTTTGGTTTGATCAGCCATCAAAAAGTCAACTAAACTTCATCATCTGTATCTATATCTGACCGTACTGTGCATCAACAATCGAATGAGGCTGCCTGTAACTGAATTTAAATCTTCTTATGATTTGATTGTTCATGTAAGCATTGCTTGGGTTTTATATTTCTATAAATATGAACATGAATTGGACCTGTTTGTGCCATAAAGTGCCTTGAGATGACATTAGTCGTGCTCTGTTTTCATAGAAAAAACAGCACTGAAATGTAACCGTGTGGTTACATTTACAGTTACAGTAGCTGTTACTGTAACAGTACAGTAGTAATGGGATGTTGCTGGAATAAATGACCTGAGTGAATGAAAAAGCCCAGTAAGGTGAGCAGCCGGGTCTGACACCAGCCGTCAAAACCTTGTGCTTCCTGTTGCGTGTGTATATGGAGACGTTCAATAAAACACCCCGTTGCTATAGTAACAAAGGAGCCTTTAGTCTCTTAACACACCAGCAGGTTTGTGCAGTAAAGCATCTCTGTTCTGTACATTATGGCTTTATAGCTCCTGGCTCTGACTCGTCACTCTGACGTCTGACTTCATGTGGACAGAAAACTGAAAACGAACCATGACAGAGGAAATTACACAGCATGGAGCCTGATCCAACACACAGGAAACGGACGATTCAGAACCAGGCTCAAATGACTGGATCATTTAGTGTCTGCAGACCAATTTGTGCATCAGAAGCAGGAAGAACAGGATGGTCATCTGAGTCATGTTGTGCTAAGTAGAAGGGGTGGGTGATGTGAACTTAAAGTTGAATCACAATATTCTGTGATAAAGAAAACTCTTAAGCAATATTGATTCCTTATTTTTTAGGTAACTCTATGTAACCACATTTCATCATATTTTTCAAAATTATTGATACTCTCAATGAACAAACAGCGGAGAAAATTGTAAAACTAACGATCCCAACAACATGAACAGTTTTGGGAGGTTGTAAATATTATTAACTGAATAATAAATTAAATTAATTATTAATGAATACTTATTAAATATCAAGATGACGATGCATGAAAATTTATGATCAACGATACAATAAATGCTCACTCCTGCTTAACCATTGTAAAAAACAAAAAAGAGAGAAAAATATTTCATGTCTACTTTTGATAGAAACATTTTGCTTCTTGTTGGATTTTCTTTGACAACTAAAGCAGAACCGTCAGGAAACAAGCCTGACGGTTCTGCTTCTGTCAGAACTGTCAACTCTGCAAATAGAGAGGCTGCAACTTCTACTACGGCCTCTAGATGTCAGCATATTCAACTTAGCTTGGCTTTCTGTGTTGATCTGTTGTTTTTATTGCTGTTGAAGCTTCTACTGTCTCATTAGCTTTGGTTTCAGCGTCCACCCAGCGGTCAGTAGGGACTAGAGGAAACGTTGTGTGTAAATGTTCTGTAGTGGTTCGTTTTGTTAGCTTCCTGTCAGATCCAACCCAAACTGCTCCTGATGTTTTGACGATCTGGATATGTTTTTTTCGTTTGTTTTTTCTTGCCACCAGACTCAGAAAACTCATCAAAAACTGAGCATCTCAATACTAAATAAAATTAATAAAACATTTTTTCTCTAAGCAACCTGTTGCCTTGACTCCATTAGACCTCTCAGCAGCCATCTCTACACCTCAGCCTGTCCAACAACAGCACCAGCAGCATCTTCCTGTGGTCACTGTTAGTGGAGAATCCCCCGCTCAGCACCTACCCCACTCCTTCACTCTTTTCCTACTTTATTCATCGGCTTCTTTGCCCTTCAGCCTGTTCTCGTTTCCTTGTGCGATACGTTTAGAAGCATTTGTTTGTGTTGAACCTGCAACGCAGCTCGTGTCACAGCCGTGGAGCGAGAGCTTCAGCGCGGATCCACGTTCAAAACCGCCAGTAGCTTCACTGTTCAGAGTACCAGACTTCTTAACTTTGCCCTCTTCTTTAGCTTGCATACATGAGAAACTCACTTATAATCCCCACGCTACCTAAACACACACTGAAAACAAGCAGTAAATGTACACCGTCAAACCTCCCCACGGAAGATGGCCTCTGGCGAAAGTCTCGACGATCAGCGTACATCACAAAAATAAAATACAAAACACAAAAATCCTCAAGACTTACTTATGTGTCAAAAAATTCTGTGCGAAAGTTTGAGCTTTGGGTTCAATAATGGGAAGACTAGATTAGAGTGAGTTTATTATCTAAATAGGCAGAACTGAAAGAAAATTCAGGAGAAAGATAAACTACTGTTATGTTTAGAGCTGAAACAATTAATCAGATGAATTAGATTAATCATGATTAATCTAATTATTGAAATAATAGTCAACTAATCTACTAATTGATTAATTGTTAACTCTAAAAAAGGCCAATTGCTGAAAGAAAAAAAAAAAAACACTAAAGCAGGAACTAAACCAAAAACTGTATGAAGACATCTGCAACTTGGATTTAAGATAGAAAAATCTGATCTACCCAGAACTTACGTAGCATTTTTAGCTTCACATGGTTCAAATTTTGCAAAACAAAACAAATAAAAAAAATTAAAATCTTATGTAGTATTGGCAAGAATAAAGCTATTATGGAACACCAAAAGCTGCATAGATGTATTTTACCAGATTTTGAATAAATAAATGTTTAATATGACTGATGTTCAGAATGTTGTGACACACAGAGAAACTTGAGTTTTGTTCTTCAGGTGATGTGTGCTGATCTCACATCGCAAAACCAGTCGCCTCAACTACAGACCACCATTAAACATAAAGCACATGCATTCAGTACGAGGAGAATATGATAGTGATAATAATAATCATAATAATAATAATAATAACACTATATTGTAACTTTACTCCCCCCTGTTCCTGTGGAGCTGCTCCCTCCCACTATGTGGCCCAGCCTTCTGATAGCCTCATCCGTTTTACTGATGGGCTGTGACGCTCCTCCTGACTGGTCAGCGGCTGCAGCAGGAAGCTCTCGTTGCCGTGGTGATCCTCGCGATCCTCACTGCCTTCGTATGAGCTGCCGCAGCTGGAGGCGCTGTCGCCGGGGGAACTGCCGGATTCGTGGGGCCCCCGGCCGGCGCCGAGGGCGTATCCGGCCGCGTTGACGCCTCCTCTGAGTCCGGCCCCGCCCACGGCCCCGCCCACGCCCAGGATCCGGTCTCTGGGAGGAGAGGCCGGCTCGCACTTAATGTGGAGGTTGTTGTGGACGTCCAGGCTGGAGTTCTGGCACAAGTTTCTGTAAGTAGAGGAGAAGATGTGATGATCATTTTGGTTCTATGTGCGAAGCCACGGCTCGTCATCGGAATGGATTCATCGGAATGGATCGGGTCCGGTTTTCTCACCCCATTTGTCCGAGCGCCGAGTGCTGGAGGTTCTGCAGCTGCTGCTGCTGCCAGTTCGCCACCGATCCCAGACCTGAGCCCCCGAACCCAGTCAGGGAGGACAGGTCGCTGCCCAGGGAAAACTCTGAGGGAGGACAACACAATGTCAGGTTGACCTTTAACCTTTAACCTGTAACAGTGGCCTGTTAGTCCTCACCTGTGCTGTAGGACGAAATGGCAGAGGGATAACCACCAATCCCAGAGGCAGCGATGGACACTGCAGGGGTGGACAGAGTCTGAGCTGTCTGTGAGTGATTTATTCTCTGGTTCTGAAAAAAGACAGAAGTTTGACTATTAGAAATACTAAACAAAGACTGAATCAGATTAGGTGATCTTGGTCATTGGTGAAGTTATGATACTGTTATCACTAAGACATATCAGGTTTACTGCAGGTTGGAATATGAAATTGTGTGTCTTTTTGAAAATTAATACTTCACTTTTTACACGCAAGTTTTTGTTGCATTTACAAAATGACTGTAAGTCCCTGAGTCAAGAGCTATAATATTTTATTTTGAACAGTGATGCCCAAATCTTTTGCCTCGTGAGCCAAAACTGCCATGTTGAAAGTACTTAAAAGAAACTTAATTAATAGCACAAAAATCCTATTACGATTTAAATTTGTTTTTACCTGAACATGCAATATTGCAACAAAATTGCAAATCATGCAATATTGTTTGATTTTTGTTTATCTTTACAGAATCTGAAAACCTGTCAGCCTGCCAGTCTGTTTCTGAGCCCAGAATAATAAAGCTCTGCCCAAGTCTGCTCCAGAGTGAAACCAGGTTCACCAAACTGAAATCATTTTGGTTACACCTGATATTTTTCATTCTGTAGAGATTTTAAATGCCAGTAAAAAAACAAAAATATTCAAATTTAAAGTGTCCATGAGCAGAATGGCCACATAAAGGTCAATGCCCCTGAGCCGCAGTTTGGACATAGCTGAGTTGCAACTAATTAAAAATCTACATAATATAAAATGCTTATTCAGATTAAACACTAAGTGACTGTGTTTGCAGTTCATGTTGGTGTGAGATCCTAAGAACCATTAAAGCTTTTTGATTAAATCAAATAAGTATTAAAGTGTTTCTCTATTTTCTGCAGCAATTACTGCTGGATGTTAAGATGTGCCATTTTAATGCCGGGTCATTTTTGGGCTGAACTGAAGTAGAATGAATTATTGATCATTTGAATGATATACATTTTTTAAAATTACACCTTTAATGATATTGATTCAGGGTAATAAATGATGTATTAGTTTTCTTAGCAGTAAGGATGAATAGATTTGGTGGTAGAAAGACAGTTTAATGATATTTGATGCTGCACATATGTATTAGTCTTTGGTTCATTGGTTTTATCAAATTGCTGCGTTGTTGAGGGGTCTTAGGCAAAAACTCAACTGATTATTAACATCTTTCCTCTAAGAAACTAAATATTTTCTGGACAGAAGAAGAAAACCAGATGAGACAGTGAAGTGTGATAAAAACCGTTGGCATGATGGAGCACTTGTTGGAGGGCGGCATCAGAGTGCGGAGGTCAGGCTTGTGGGTCAAGCCCATGTGAGGAGGACTTTTGTCCTGCATGTTCTTAGAGACGCCGGCTGGGGACATGAGGCCGGGGGAACTGCAGTGGGAGCTGAAGCTGCCATTTCCTGTCAGAGATCATAAAGTTTCAATATTACAGTTAAGCACAAAATGCAGGAGAGCAGATTGGTCTCAGAAGGAGGATGGTTTGGACCACTTGCAATTTGTGGATTTGAGAAAAGTGAAGGCAGCCTTACCCACGCTGGAGACCACGGTGTTGGGAAGGTCAGACGCCATCAACCCTGCAGGGAGATGGAGACATGCAGTCACAAAACCTAACCTTTTAGATTCTTTGTGTGATTATTTTCCTGACCACCAATATTCTTGCCTCAGTGCATAATGATGACACATATGTGTCTTATCACAGTCACATGTTGTCAAATCCAATAATATACATCAATGAAATTTGGTCCCAGGGTTCTGGCTACAGTGCCACTGGCCACTGCCGCCGGGCCCCCGGCCCCTGGCCCCTGGTTTGCTCCAGCCCAAAACCGCCGACGGTAGAAAGTTGCAAGGAATCTTTGGTCTCAGCGCCTCTTGGATTAGGAATCTCACCATCTCGTAACTCGCTAATCTGAGTTTATGTCGAATGAAGATTCCAAGAATTTAATCTACTGTAGTTAAGATATTAACTTCTCATAAACCCAGCTTTGAAAATACTCATCAATCACCTTCATGGAAAACTTCTAGCCTAAAGCTAAAGTGAGTATAAACACACCTGCATTCCCAGCGCTACAGGGTCGTTGGGGGGACATAGTGTTTCTCTGCAAGGACGAGTGTGAGATGGGCAGCAAGTTGTGATTACCCACAGCGCCCCCTATGGCCTGGTGAGAGTACAGCAGCCCACTAGGATTGCTGCCTGGGATGGTCACCCCCATGTCGTAGCCAGAGGGAGGCAGACCCTGTTGGATCAAAGCCAAAAAGTGTTTTAGATCCTCCATGAAATGACACCACACACTCGCTATGCAAAAGAAAGAAGATGTAGACGTACACAGATTCTTTGCCTGTTTATCATCAGATCGATGTCTTCGTTGAGTTTGCAGTACTTGTCGTCTAACTCTGGGCTCTGGCCAGCAGAGTCATCAGCTTCGATGTCGGGGCTTTCACAGCCGTTTAAACCCTTCTTCCGTAGAGTCTGTTGAGAAACAGAAGACAAGAGTGGATAAGTCGACTGGTCTAAACCTTCAAAACCATGATTAAATCAAAATAACCATGGTGATTATAAAAATGCTGTAAATGTTTATATTGTTGTTATAAAAAATGCTATCAAAAAAGACTTTTACAAAATGTGACTTTGTGATTAATCTTTCTCAAATTGGGCTTCTGTCTCTTTAAAACCTCCAGGTCTTTCTGTAACTCACAGTCATCACAACATGGCTCCTCTATTAACCCTTTAACAATGTTTTCACTAGTGTTACACGAAGAAGTAGCTGCTACAATGAGCTCAGCAGATGTGTAGTTCCACCAGGTGTTTGCTAATTGCTGCTGGCTAGTCTGGAGGAGCTGAGTGGGGAAGGACTGCTCTGTGAAACTACAGTTCAGAGAAGAAGAACAGGCATTTTTCACAGCTGAATGGTTGTCAGGGGAGATTAAAGGATTTCTCAAACATGCATGAAACAATCTGGTATGTTTTTGATGAGGAAACAATATTACAGCATATATAGCTGAAAAAAGTCGAGTTCACATAATACTGCCCCTTTAAAATTAATATAGCTGACCACATGAGGGCGCTGTCTGAGCAGATACTGTCACCAGTGAGGCTTGGCTTGCAACAAAAGTTGTCAGCGGTGAACTCCGACCTGATCAACTGTTTCCATGGTAGAAGGATTCACTCTTCACTTTTAAAGACATGTTCTGATGAGGACGGGTCCACTGAGCGGACCACATGTCAGTGTTGTCAAACATCTGTTCAGACTTGGATCAGGTGGTGATAAGTGTGTGTGCGTGTGTGTGTACAGTATGCAGTTTGGCTCGCGGTGGCCTGCTTCAGCACTTCACACCCCATCGCTCCAGCCTGTCAGCAGACGGACACTGCAGGCTCCCCCAGCTGCTGGACCAATCACAGCGTCTGACTCATCCATCCAAGTCCACCTGTTTCCCTTTACAGAGAGAGGGTGGAGTGTGGTGAGGCAGCTCCCACCAATACAAGTGTGGCTGGTGGAGGGATGGCCGTAGAAGGCTATTTTTTGCTCCAGAGTGTGTGGGAGCTTCTTGTTACTCCCACACACACATGCACACGCACACACACACACACCAAGTAAAATCAAACACAACGCAACACCCTTAGCTTGTTTTTCGAAGAAAACTGAACGTCAGAGTGAATCATTCAGATGGAGGGTGGAGCTAAAGCTCAGACTTCCCTTCCAGAAGGATTTTTTGGAACTATATACTGGAAGTATCTGCAAGAGGTCCATCACAAAGTTTTAAAAGTATTAACGGGATAACGAAGAATTCTTAGTTTTCACAAATAAAGTGAAGATTTTCCAAATGATAAATTGATATTAAAGAGCAGAAAAATCTTACGATCAGTTTGTTTTAAATTCTGAACTAAATACCCCCCAAAAACAACCTGATGAGGATGGGCCCCCACAAAAAACAAAAGTACCTCAAATATCAACTAACAGCCTTGAGTCCTGTGGTGTGAATATGTTAAATTGAATACTTTTAATTATCTAAGATCAACTAAATCATGCATGTCTAGATGAAATTCGATTTCTGACAAGATGAAAAACTTGAAAAATGAGCAACTTTATAAGGAAGATTATATGCCTGTTAGTAGCTCTATACTGAGTGTATGTTGATGGGTAAATGTGTGAGGAACAGCAGTAGATCAAAAAATCTCAGATGACATACAGCCACTATCACCTCCTACACCCATTCAAACCTCCATCTTCCTGCTTTTCCATTAATTCCACTTTCTGTTTTTAGTCTCACTCGCGTCCCAGCGCTCTGCGTTTTCGTGGGTGGTCTCCCACTCGTCCACCACCACTTCCACACCAGATAATCCTCTGGACGCATGTCTTTCTGTGTCTGCTGTGATGGAGACAGCGCTCTCAGGGCCGTGACGTTCGGCTTTTACAGCATCCCACTGCTACCAAAATTAGAGCAACTTTATTTGGATACCTAATAAATAGAATTGCTTTGTTTTATGGCATCATATTTTCCTAATAAGTCGCAAAAAACAACATTTTTATTGAAAGAATTCTAAACTTAGCTGCCACCTACCAGCAGGAAAAAAGAGAAAAGTCCACAGGTGTTGTAAGGAACAATCATCAGTCTATTTCCAGTTCAATGAGCGATTCACTCGGTTTGAGTTCGCACACTTGTGCAAACAAACCAGAATAAAAAAGTAAAGTTGGATTGGTTTAAGATGCGACCTTTTCAGCATAAAATCAGAGTTTCTGAAAGGTTGAAACAGTTTCAACGTCCAGCTTTTAAACATCAGCTTTTCATGTCTAAATGTCCACAGAGATCCAGGCGTTGATGTTATTAGTTAAGTCATTTTATACTTTTATGACCAGTTGTTGCTGGATGGCATGCCAGTGTACGCCCACTCATCCTGCTGAGCTGCTATAAACTGTTCTGGTCACAAAAGGAAAAAGGAAGGATGGAAGCAGAGGAAGCTGTGGCAAAATAAAACTCAGCCTGAAGTTGCCTGTCTTTCTTTTCTTTTTCTTGCTATTGCTTACACATTAAATAAGACACACACACGCACAAACACAGACAAAAAAAACCAAAAAACAGTCATTCACAGCAAACCACAGTCACCCACACTTGCAGGCTGTCATGGCTATTCTTAGCCGTGTTCTGGGTTATTTTTAGACCGCTGCCGGTTTCCAGTCATTTAGCAGGGAGGGATCTCAGCCAACACAAAGGAACTGGAAGGTCCTGCGAGCGTCAGTTTCATCTGTTTCTAATCTGAAAACAGCATGGTGTTGAACACACACACACGCATACACACATACACAAACACTGATGAGGCAGAGCTCGCCCAAGCAGAAGAAGGTTAACACAGTTACAGCGAGGAATGCAGAACTCCTCTGGTTTAAAAATAGCAACAAGGTTCCCAGACTAAACGAATACAAAACAATACGCTGATAGTTATCTGGCCCACAGCCTGTTCATACACACCCACACACACACACACACACACACACACACACACACACACACACACACACACACACACACACACACACACACACACACACACACACACACACACCCACACACACACACACACACACACACATAGGCGCATGCCAAGAAGCCACATGAGGGCAGAAAAAGATGACCAAAACAAAGGAGCTTCTCTTTTACTGAATTCCTGTCTAGCTGGGTTTTGATCGGTGCAGAGGCCCAGAAACAACAACCTCTCAAAAAAAGGTTCCCCTTTTTCAACCTTTAAAATGATTTGAAAAATGAGTTTGAAATCAGCTTTGTTGCCCAAAAAGGGGTTTTGATTTTTCTTAAATGGTTCTGTAGCTCCAAAATAAGAGATTTTTCAACAGCAAACTTAAACTAAAGGAATGACCAGATCATTCACACCCGCAACTTTATAAGTACTTCATAGACTTTGATACACTTTGGTGTATTATACTTTATATTAGGGATGCTATTAATGTTTCTGTCATGGTCAATAACTGATAACTGATATGCATAGATATGACATTTATTTCACCACTTTTTCTACATCTTAAAACCTCTCTGATCACACCACTGCTTCTTTGCTTCACTGAAACGCTCCACAATCCACCATCACTGTCACATGACCAACTTACTCTCCTCCCCTCAAGAAACAAATATGGTAAAAATAAAAATGAAAAAATCTGGTACACACAGTGGATACCAAGCTGTAACCACAGACGCTAACATCTGCAGATTTCCTCAATCAGCACTAAGGAAAATAAAAATAAATGCAGCTTCTGGATTGGCTGCCTTGCAGCTAACAGTATGTCAAATAGCAAGAAGATATTTCAGCTTCTCAAACTGCATTTTCTTTCAATTATCTTAGATTCGCTCTATGGAAAAATTCTCTAAGCTGTGTATGCAAAAAAAAAAGAATAAAAAAAGAGAATAAAATATCACTTAAATCCACATCACATGATTAGTCTGTCACGTGAAATTGCATTAACAATAACTTAGTTTTTATATGTTAAATATCTTTTTGTAACTATAAGACAGAACTACACAATTATTATCACTTCATCATCTTGACTGACAAAACAGAGTCATTTCACACACGCACACACACGCACACACACACACACACACACACGCACACACACACACACACAGACGCACACGCGTCTCCATGTGTTTCTTGTTTGCTGGTAGCTTTTGATACTCAGCCAGCTCACGCCGCTTAAGTTTGTTGATCTCTGATTAGATGATGGGAGGGATAAAGGTCACAGAGAGGCATGCGTAACCTTGCAGGTTTAGGTAGAAGTGCCTGGCTCAACATGGTGCAGGGCTGGCTGAGCCAAGGTTGCTCCCGCTGTGCTGAACATGCATGTTGGAGCTCCACTGAGCTGGTGGGATATTACAGGACTGGTTCATCGTGCTGGGAGGTGGACGTGTGTCTCTGAGGTGTGATGAGACCTCACAAAGGCTGCTTTCAGGTCATACCAAAGAGACCTTCCACGTCCAGTTGTCCACTGCGTGCAGGACAGAAAACATGCAGCTACATCTAGGTTTATGACTGGCTGCCATGCTACCATTTTTTAAAACTGGTTGCAAAAAGTTAAAAAGCAGCTTAAAGTTATTTTCATTTAACTTGGCAGTTCCTCTGAGATGAGTGATCTCTTTTATAAAGAAGACCTCACCAAAACAACCGCCATACAAACCAAAACAGTATGAGACATTTATATAATAATAAACACTCAAACAGAATGAGAGTTGCTCAGTTAATATGACTTCTCAAGAAAAAACAGACGTTCCTACGTTGTACTTTATTTAGTGGCAGCCTGGTCAAATTATGTATGCTACAGTGCTTCGCCTATGCTCCATAGCATAGGTGATGATCAGGTCTCTTAATAAGTGTGAGTTCAAATGAATGCGAGTGAGACCAAGATCAATACAGAAAATGACAATTAAACTGGTTTGAGACACAGGAGGCAGCCAAGGAGCAGAGAGGAAGAAAACATATCAAGGAGGTCAAAGGTGATGCAGGTGGAGTGAGAGCAGTGTGTGGCATAAATAATCCAGCCTCTGTGGATGTTCTGCAGAGATGAAGAGGTTGCCTGTGGAGATTACCGTAATGAGCTAAACAGGATTGCTGTAGATTACAGAGGATTTCGGCACGTGTAAGCCGGCCTCTGACAGGGCCACCATGTGGACAGGGAAGCTCAGGTAAATACTGTATGTACTGTACATGAAGCTGGAAGCTGGTTGATGCTTTAGGAAGTTATTCAGGAGATATTTCTGAAGGCAATATCCTTCAGGAACATTGCCTGTGGAAATCTGTCAGGGTCTTTAGGGTATTCAAAGAAGTCTCAGAAACCCAAATAATTATAGTAAATAAATGTTACTATAATGAAAAAAAATGAAAAAAAGAAAATATGCTGTGACAACACTTGTTTCATATAAATCAAAATAACCAGAGAAAAGCTTCTCTGTAATTTAAAGATTTATTGATATTACAGAAAACATTTCATCCAATATAATGGCCTTACTGTGATTTTTTAGAAGAGATAAACAATCAAATAAGCTGCCAGTAGGCAAACTTTGTCCATTTGGGAGTACTCTGTTTTCCTGTCTGAAAACCTTCATTATTACACTGAACAGAAGCGTTTTGATCAGTCTTTCATATTTACATTTGCAGTGAGTGTTTCATCTGTTTACTCCAGATGTAAGTTGTTTCTTTGCTGCCTCTGACAGATTTTTTTCCAGGACTGCTCTGTATTTAGCGCCGTCCCTCTTCCTGTCAGCATTCACAACAAAAAACAAGAGCTCCTTCTTCCACTCCTTCTTCACTGCGTCGTCGTTGGCCCGGGTTCTGGGCCAACTGGAAGCAGGGCTTCTTTTGACACAACAGATGTCCTCTGAAGGTCAGATTTATGGAGCATAAATATATGAAACAGCTTCTTCCACTTGAGTTCTGGATTTTTGCAGCTGCTCCAGAGTTCCAACATGTTGCTTATCTGATTAATGCTCTAAGCTTGAGATATTAACTTCGAACATAATCTCCTTTAAACTTTACTCCCACCTGGTTTCTGAACACAGTTTATTAGGAATTGTGCTTTCTGTTGGATTCTTGAATAAAATCCCAATAATTTTTAGAGATATTTTGTGGTACTGTTATGATTATGATAAAGAATATAATAAAAACACTACTTATTTATAGGCAATAAATAGTCCTGCAGGATGGTAACTGCATGGCACAGCATTAATAGCACCATAATCACAAATATTGTTCTTTAAAAATATCTCCGTTTAGGTTTCTTCATCTACTTAAAAACATGTGATTCATATCATTACACCAAACTTCCCTCAGTAACTGCAATTAATGATACTTTTGAAGTGAGTGATGTTTATTGATGCTCTTGTGGAACAAAAAGAAGAGAAAATAGCAGAAATTGCATTTTCTGATCATTCTGTCAGTTTTTTATTTATTTAATGACAGTAAGTGAAGTTTACAATGGCAACGATAAATCAAAATTCTTACCATGATAAGAAATATTTCACCATAAATAATATATGATAATTGCCCAATTTGTGAACATTTTGCTTGGTGAACAGCTGAACAGCTGAAATATTCCCAAAACACAAAACTTCCCGACTAAGGCACTGTGTTTATGAAATTAGAACTGGTTTGCTAGTAGCTAAAAGAAAAAAAACAACATTAAGTCAGATTTTTGCTGGTGAGGGCAGCAGCTCAGTGTTGCAGCTCTTTGTGTTCAGAAAATAGTGAATAGAATAGTATTGATTAGGAGCTTTAGATAATCGTGCTGTCAGCTGTCAGGTTCAGGAGGTTTGCAGCCTCTGCATCAGAATCCTGTCTGCACCTAAACGTCACCTGGGAGTCACACTTAAGCTAATATCCCCAGGTTGGGGGTGTGTGTTTACGTGTGTGTCAGGGCATATGCTTGTGATTGAGCTCTGTTAACACTGTTACATAAGCCCTTCGTCCAGTACGTACTGTATCACTGAGTTCTGGTGTGGCACCGTCACTAACATTCACCAATACAAACGAGTTAAAGAGACTAAAAACCTTCACCAAGCAGAGAAATTAGCACAATAACACACTCAGACTTTAACACACTCAGACTTTAACACACTCAGACTTTAACTCACAGACGCTTTCTGACATGACACTAAAAAAAGCAGCTGCTATTGCAAACAACCTCAACAGTCACTGATCCTCAGATTTTGAACATGGACATTTGTCACAAAAAATTATTTAATGACAAATCAAGGAGCAGACTGTAATCATGGTTATAACATCATCCTCTCTGGATCAAGTTACTGTCCTGCTTCTGTAGCTCTGACAATCACCTGTGAGCTTCTGTAATCACTTGAATCACCAGCAGTCCTGGGCTTTTGTACAAAGATAAAATGTTAACAGCAGCAGCTTTCACACACAAAAACATAAAGAGGATATAGATTTGGTTGCTGGTCTGTCAGGAACATTTTAATTCTGTACCTTACAAGAAAACCTTTTTTAGTTCGCCATAAATTGCTGAACAGAATCTTAAGATCAGGGAAGAAAATGCAAGTATTCATGTGTTGTTCTAATATCAAATAAGCCCTCAAAGTCCAAAAGAAGAATAAAACAACAAGACACGAGAACAGAGAAAGCAAATCATGGAAAATTCCATATAAAGGGAAAGAAGCTGTTTTTCAGATCATCAAAAATTTAGAACCACATAAATGTCAATATCTCAAATAAATACGGCTTTCATGTCTTTTTCTGTCAGGTGTTCTCTCTGTCGTGATTTGCAAGAGGTAGAAGGAAAACAGGCTGTCCGTGTGTGATTGCTAAGCTGCATAAGCAAGGACGATGTTGCTGAAGATGGACTATGAGAGCATGGATGCATTTTTTTTAAAAACATCTCAAGGATCATTTAAAAAAAAATTTAATGTTGGACCTCAAATGAATTGCACTCGTCCTTTGGCTATGAAAGCTTCAAAACAAAAATTTAAACATGCATCTTCTACATTACAAACTTGATCGCTTGGTAAATGGGAGAGTGTATTTTTTTTATCCTCATAAATACAACAACAAAAGAAACTGTTGAAATCCTAAACCTGTACCTTACAGTTTTTGCTTTAAAGCACATGAACCTCACTAGATAATATTCCATCAAATGTTAAAAGATCTTCTCTTCCACTTCACACTGATTCCACATCATCAGTGTGTGTGTGTGTGTGTGTGCGTGTGAGCATGCATGCGTGTGTGTGTATCGTTTCCTTACATCCACAATGTCCGAGTTGGTCCTACTCTCATGCGGCTCGTTGTACTCGGTGTATTTGAGCAGAACCTTGTCCATGTCGGTGCTGGCGTACTGGAACAGCTTGTTGGTGCTGTTGAAGATGATGAGAGCGATCTCACAGTCACACAGGACGCTCAGCTCGTAGGCTTTCTTCATCAGACCAAACTTGCGCTTTGTAAATGTCACCTAAGGGCCAGAGGAAAGTGAGGACCAGTTTTATATACGAGTTACATTTTTGATAAAAGTAGCCACTTGGCTTTTTTTCCCCCTTTTTTAAATATATATATATATATATATATATATATATATATATATATATATATATATATATATATATATATATATATATATATATATGTGTGTGTGTATTTTTTACAAAAGCACAGCTAGTCTGACACTTTAGTGAGGAAGGTAAAGCAAATGTTCTTTGGTTTACTTGGTTTGTTTTAAATGCAGCTAAGGAATAATTTACGCCGTACTGGTTGGAGTTGTTGCCTCTGATTTTGCATTATTATGATTAGAGGTTAAAATATGTTCATAGCTTCCCCTTATTACAAGTCAGATAGTTGAACAGGTCAAGTCATGATATATTATTTTCAAACAGGTTTTTGCACTTGTACAATGAAAAAGAGACTCTATCGACCGCAGAAGTTCACTGTGATCTGCAAGATGTGCAGTTTTCAGACAGCCGCCCAAATATGGGGAAGTTCCACTTTGTCATAATATATGCCACATGATACAGTGTAGCTTGATGCGCAATCCAAAAAATATATTTCCCATCATCCCAAGTGGTAACTCAGGAGTGGCAGAGCGCACCGTGTCGTCTGCAGAGCTGACGTCTGTTTCTGTGTGATGAAGCTGCCAAAGATCCCGTCGTTCACATGGACACAAAAGCTGTAACTTTTGTTGCAAAATGAGAGTTCATCTATTAAACCAATCCAGGATGAAAATGTAAGCTGAAAACTGGAACTGTCTGCACAGTTTTTTTAGTGACCTGCTGATTAATTATTTTTATTGTATTATATTGAATATAATTTTAGATTTTGTGTAATTTTCTCCAGGTTGATTTAAAAAATGAGCTCTCAATTGAAAGCTAATTTTCTACGCATCAAAAAAAAAAAAAATTGGTAGGGCTCCACTGATAAGAAAATTTGGGCAGATATTGGTATTAAAATATTAATGTCATGGCAGTATTTATAAATATTGTATTTTATCATTTGTTTTTTTCATGCAATTACGTGACTAATCGTCAGAACAATCTGAAAATAATTAGCAACAGCCCTAAACAGGCTGGTGAGTTTTTTATTATTATCCCTTTTAAAAATAGCCTGACTGTAAGTTGCTGCAGCGCTATGCGCACTGTGCTGGATGCCCCATCACACAGTCCAGGGAAAAACTGTGAGGGTAGATCCTGTCTGTTTTGGATCAGGAAGCACATGTGCTTGCACTTCCTGTCAAAACAGGAAGAGAAAAAACGTTCCCTCAAACACGACCTGTGTGCGTGTGTGTGTGTGTGTGCGCACTCTGCTGCGTGTTTACTTGTGTGTAAAAATGAACTCATGCAACAATCCCTTTGACAACAGGGCCTCATTACTCAGAAGTCATGTTGCATTGAGCCAGCTGGTGCATCACAATCAGGCTCATAACCAGTGAGTGCTTGTGAGCATCACATGACAATGAGTCTGTGGATGCTGGAACGTTACTTTGTTTCAACTTTAAAGCATTACTTCCATCAGTTGGTGAAATTTGTAAATTTACTTTTGGATAGTGACAACTGAACTGAGATTAAACACAATCATATAAATGTGACATCACTTCAGGTCTCAGCTTCTAGTTAAAACACTGAGACATCCAGTCTGCACTCAGACTCTGAAACTTGGAGACTGATTTTGACTGAAAGCAGTTTTCTGTTTGTTGCTTACATGTCTGTTCCTTTCATCCATTATTCGTGCAATCTGAATCTTTTTCCTCCCCATCTTTGCGATTTTTCCACTTATGCTTCTTCTTTTCTTTCACAGTCGTTGCTTCTTAATGCCTCCTTCAATCCACGTCCAGCTCCTCAAATGTTTTTTCTTCTCAGTCTCAAAGTGCTGGCTGGAACCTGCAGAGAAACATCCGTAAGCACAAGGTCAGTTTCACAGTAAAAACAATTCAGATTTCAACGAGACAAAATCAAATGGTAATGAAAAGCAGTGTGTCTTTTTATTATCAAATTCTAAACTCTATGAAAGTTGCTGGATGACATGACTGAAAAACTCATCAGGCTATAAGTGTTTCATATCAGTTGATAGCTGTCTATATCAATAATTATTGATTAGTTTCCTGTTTTAAATATTCAAAATACTCCAAAAACGGTCACTGCACATGTTACTCATCAGCTTGTTGCTAAGTAACCAAAGAGTGACTGAGTAAGCTGATGTCACTAATCGAGCTTCACTCACTATGAGACATTGAGCAGCTAAAGCCTTCCCTCTGCCTACATCTCCCAGAATGCTGTGTGGTTCTGGATCAGAGTTCGGTGAATATTCTATATGCTCAATACTGAATATTCTATCATACTAATTATATTAATATTGATCGCGTGTTTATTGCAATATATTTTATTACTGGTTTATTGTGCATGTGTGAAAACTTTAGGCAATAAACAGGAGTTTAATAAGATTGTTTTCTTCCTACACACAACAGGCAACAAACATATGGATAATAAAGTGATTTTTATAGTCCAAACCTCAGACAGACATGTGTGGATGTTGCACCTAATTATAAAAATGAGTTCTGTATGTACTAAATTTAACTGCTGTGCACGCACAGACAGGCAGCATGTCTGCGTGTCGCTGTATCTGGAGCCCCTCAGCAGCCTCCCCCCAGACACGCCCATCACCAGCTTCCTCACGGGGTTCTCTGTGCTCAGGAGGAAGTGAAACAGGCGGCCATGTCAGAATGCAAATCACAGATTGTGAAGTTCAGATGTGCTGCACCATCGCATCTGCGGCTTTTGAAAAGCAAAACTAGAAGGCAGAAATTTCTTCCAAACCACTGAGCTGAGCTCAAACTACCTGTTCCTTTTCACAATCTTTATTATTATTATTATTATTTAATATTAATCAACATGAATACATAAAACAGTTAGTAAAAAACAAAACAAAACACACACACACGCACATCATTTACAATAGGTTATATTAGGTGGAAAATCTAGAAATGAACAAATCACATCAACAAAGAAACACAAAACAATGACTGGTTCAAACACGTTCATTTAAAGCATGAATTCATTGCTTGTTTAAAAGCCCTGGTTTAAACAATTTTATAAAAATGTCTAAAGATGTGATGTTTCCCACTTCTACTGGTACTTAATGATGAAAGTGTGATGCTTGGTCTCACTAAAGAAGGTATTTCTAAATGATATTTGATAATCTCCTTACTAGCTGTTCTCTCTCTCTCTCTCTCTCTCTCTCTCTCTCTCTCTCTCTCCATATATATATATATATATATTATATATATATATATATATATATATATAGATATATATATATATAGATATATATATCTATATATATATATATATATATATATATATATATAGATATATATATATCTATATATATCTATATATATATATATATATATATATATATATATATATATATATATATATATATATATATATATATATATATATTTATAAATAAAACACCCCAATAGATGGAGTTAGAGCAAAACTGACAGGAGATCAGCAAAATAAGAAAGTTGAAGTAATCTCAAACTCTGTCATCTTTCAAAGAAAAAATAATGTTGGTGATAGATGGGACATTAATGATGGAAAGGAAGAACTCATGTATGAATATTACTGAAAGGTATCAGTTCAAAACCAAGTTTGAACTGATTCCTATTCTTTTGGTGTTTTATGCCTCAGACTGACTTGACTGTAAAGAGCCCAGGCCGCCTGTAGTTCCCCAAACCAGATTTCTGTCAGCAACAGGAATTTCTGCTTAGAATTTGAAAGCACTTCTCACTCTGTGCCTCTGCAACTTACTTTTCATTAGTAGCATAATGCATGACCAGAAATATCTAAATTGTCATGTAAAGTGTGCACTAGTTGTATGAAAACATACAAGTGATGTATGGAATTTCTCCTCCACATTCTTCAGTCAGTGTTTGTCTAATAAGGGCGTTATTGCGTTACTCTAAACACAGATGCCGGCTTAGAGCCGCTCGTCTCCATTTTTACACCTCCAACCACCAAGCACCACATTACGGACTTGGATCAGAAGAGACCCAAACTCCACAGAGGATTGTTAAGTAATGGAAACTGTTAAGGAGCTCTGTTTTATTGTTGCAGCTTTTCTGTTTGCCAACAGACATGCTTTGCTTGGAACTCTAAAAGGGCAGTATTATGTGTTTTCCAGGCACAGAGTGCAATTTTATAGCTCAGTCAAGTAACTATGTTAACTTTGGTTGTTGTTAAAATGCTGTATATATCAAATATGACTTAAAGCAAATTTCACTTTGTAATTTAACACATCAAAAATGTGCCTCTGTCACTTTAAAATGTCCTCCTCTTTCTGAAACTACGCCTCCTGGAAGTCTTTTTATAGTATTTAAAAGGGTTAAATCAATGTTAGAAGCTCTAATCTTCAAACTTAAAATAATGATTATTCCTATTTCAAGATGATATCCTTGTTGTATTGTGCTAAAGTAAACAGAGATATTATAATTATACTATCGGTTAGATTCCAGACATGGCTTAGACCTGAGAACTTAGAAAACAGAGTGCAACAGTGTGTGTGTGTGTGTGTGTGTGTGTGTGTGTGTGTGTGTGTGTGTGTGTGTGTGTGTGTGTGTTTAATCTCAGTATAAAGTAGAGGTCAGCAGACAGGTCAGGGAGGAAGCAGTGGAGAAGCTTAAAGCAGGGTTAGAACAACTATCTATCATCTTCTCCACAAATCTGATTTTTTTTTGGAGCAGTTGCATAAAAAGCAATTAAGTAGATTGTGACATAAAAAATTTGAAAAATCCAAGTGGTGTGAATAAGTCTACAAAGCACTATGAACAGAATTAAAATGCAAAGCACTACTTTCCACTACTACTGTGGCAATGAAAAATAAATTGATGAATTGCATGATAAATTACATGAGCGTGATTATTTCCATTTGTTTGTTTTTCTCCTTTCTCTCCCTCTTTCTACCAAAGACTGAATAACAAAAAGTTTCAGTCTAACGCAGTGGCGACCAAAGAGGGTCCTGGAGCACTGGCATCGTGCATGTTTTAGTTCTCTCCCCGGTTTAATGCACCTGGATCAAATGCTGGTTCATTATAAGACCAAAGAAGAATATTGACATGCTGAGAAGATTGTTATTACCACCAGGGAGAGAACTAAGACATGCCGTACGCTGGCCCTCCAGGATCATCTTTGGGGACCACAAGCCTAGTGCATTGGTCTCAAGTAGCTCAAAAATTTTATTTGCAGTGCTTTCAGTATCCATTTAATTTATTTATTTATATTTTATTTTGAATCTTTAAAATATCTTCCAGTTCCAGCGTTAAATATTTGTTAGAAATGACAGTTTATTCATCTTTGAGCAGGTGTATGTGTATTATTATTCCAAAATAACAATATTACAGTTTATCACAAAAAACTTCTGGGACGATTTATCAACCAACAAAGTTTGTTGATCGTGACAGGCCTCGCTACTAACTCTCTCTATCTCCAACCTCTGCGCTGACATATAAAAAATATATACTAATGTCTAACATATAGATTTTCAAGTCACTGAAAACAAAACCTTCCAAATGTGTTTCTATTGTGTGAAGAATGCCGACTGTAGCAGTTTTTGGAAAACATTAGCAAGGTCGACCTTTACAGCAAGTTTCTGTGAAACCGTTAGCTTTTAGAAACGGTCACTTCCCTCCTCGTTTCTGAATAGCTCGTTCTTCACCGATTACCTAAAACGCAGAACTCCATATCCAAGGTACATATTTGGTAAAAACAAGCAGCAATTAAAAATGACTAATGTGATTATCAGTAGGAGCACAACCTCATCACCATATGTTGGTTTTCTGCTGGAAGGAAGCATTACCCAAGTGCTTCTCACACCACGCCATAACTGATGTGTTTTGTCACAACACAACAAGAAGATTAAGCTTTGTATTGTGACAGTAGCACAGAGCTCATCGGCAGCAAGTAGAGACATGCCGATTGAGCATTATGTGAATATCTAGTGCATGAGTCAAAGCGCCTGCAAGCGCTCCTCTCTGCAGGACGGCTCCAGAACGCCGTTTAAATTAGCAGCACTCCCAGACACGCTCACTCAGCACGTTGGAGCTGAAAAGGGAATTTTAGGTCAAGCAAAGATGGGAGACGCTCAGGGAAGGTTGCTTCAAATCACAGAAATCAGCACGAAGGTGTCGCTTCGTGAGGAGTTTGATCATTTCAAGGATGACGGCAAATCTCCAACCAGCTCCCCCTCCTGCGTCTTCACAAACCTCCCTACTATTTATAGACCGTGTAAAACAGAAGGACTCCAAAAATAAAAGAGTGAACTTTTTACCCCAAAGAATAATACGGCTGGGTTCTGGTTGGCAGGAACGAGAGAAAACGTTGAACAGAGAGAGAAATGGAAATCAGCTGTCGAGCAATCTCTCCCAATCCGTCGAACACTCTAAGGCTTGCGGAGTGCTGTGTGTTTTTTCGGGTCCACACATGTGTAGAAAGCACATCGCCCAGAGCAACAGCTAATAGGCGACATGTGGACATGCCCTCGTACTCCCTGCCAGGATGCTGCAGATAAGAAAGATCTGAAGAGAGCTGAGATGGCCTGAGGTTGCAGGATGATTGGTGCGGGTGATGGGTGTGTTTGTGAGGGATCAAACTGTCTTGAGAGAAAGGAACTGTATGAAGAAGTGTGAGCGGTTCTTCATACAGAATCAGCTGCTGCTCATTTCACAACTTTGCCATTTCAAATCTTTGCAATTTAACTCCTTTCATAGGTGATTTTCCTGGATACGCAGTTTTGTACTGACCATCAGTTTGTTATCACAAGAGGTATGTTTAGCATTCGTTTTAACAACCAGCAGTTTGAGATAATTTTCTAGATTCTA